GGGGGGGCGGGGGGGAGTGGGGGCAGAGAAAAAGTCATCCAGAAGAGCTATGGATTAGCTTTAATTTTGCAGAGTTCCAAAACTGCTGTACTGTAGTCTGAAAGCTTAGTCTTTCAAAGGCAAGAACAAATGAATGAGCTTACCTAGATGATGGGGAACTTCAGTAGAACTGTCTGTGCTAGCAATGATGTTGATCACAGTCTTCTGAACATTAGCCCTTTCTCCCCGCCAAATTCAGGAGGAATCCTTTAAATAGAAGTGTGTCCATAGATCCATCTGCAAATCTGGGAGTACCCTGAAATATAGGCGAAATGTTAAGTCTTCAGGAAACAAATTTTACAAACAAAAGGCAGGCATGTCTAGAAAAAGATATGATTATATCTTGTGCTGTTATCCTTGTGCTGACTGTGAAGTGGAACAGTCAGAGGGAACATGAAGCAACAAAGGTTGTATAGACATGCTAGATTAAGTGAACATTAGTATGTTAGTTTATGCTGCATTCATAACTTCATTTTGCTTGATAGATATACCTTTTTTTTTTACTGGAAATAAGTGGGCTGTCCCCAGTATCCCAATATAGTGGCTTGCTTTTTTTTTTTTTTTTTCTTCATTCTCAGTGTTTTAGATAGTTGATTCTCAATACATTTCCTAGGAGTTCTGAATGAATGCGGGCCAAACACAGTGTTGTGACTTTTGGGCTCAGGCCTATGGAGGGTTAGAGCAGATTAACCCTGCTGATTTCATGAGAGGAGATTTCTTTTTGTATCGGATGAGATTTGACTATTAATGATAAGATCTTGCTTCACAAAGAGGCATTAGAGTGAAAATTTTTTGGATGAAGCTGCAAGATTCCACAAAATTTGTATACACAAAACTTGTCAGTTCTGATTGATAATACATAGTCATGAACTTGCTGCACGTTTTGAATATCTCTATAAATTCACCTTTGCTAACAAGGCATTTGCATTTGCTTTCCAAGCTGGAAACATTTTATCTCAAGATTGGTCTTCAGAGATGGGAATACCTGAACACAAAACTTAGCTTCTAGCTGGGAGAACAATCTAAAAGGGAAAGAAATTTTCCAAAGCAGGACAAAAAAACCCCAAGAGTTGAAAGCAATCTGGACTGATAAATTTAGTTGTTCAGAAGGTAAACCAAGGTGTGCTCAGGATGATCTGGATTTTTTCAGAGGCTTTGATCCTAGTCTCAAGAGCGATTCGGAGTAATCAGACAGGAAGCAAAATTTGTAGTGTTTACAACTTTTTCCTACTCCAGTTTATTTTTCACGATCAGAGTAAGCAGCATCAACAGACTTATGACCACACAAATGTGGAGTCTGTTACTGTCATGTATTCCTGAAGGTTTTCCTATTAGTTGGAAACTCAGCATCCTGGTGTGAGTGTCCTGAGAGATCCCACACTCAAGTCTCAGGAATTAAGCCCAAGCCTGGGCAGCTAGAATTAGCTAGGGAAGTCCTAGACAGATGAGCCAGGAGGCTCTATCTGGAGATCCTAAGCCTGATGCAATCCTGGTTGAACCTGAAGGCTCGGAGCAGTGAGAGACAAAGCAACAGGCAGAGACTCAGTGCAATACCCTGGTTCATTTACCAAACGTGAAAACAACATCTGTGACAGCAGCCTGTTGAGATTGTATAGTTACATTTCAGCGAGTTTTTATTGCGAAGTGATTCAGTCTTCCAAGTTCAGATTGTTTGCCAAGTTCAGTGTCACTTGTACATTACTTGCCCAATGCAGAGGTATAGAAGATTAAACCCCTTATGTCTTTTCCAGAATCATTGATAGGCATAAATTACTGAACAGATTTGAAAATCTGGCTTTATTTATTGAATTAATAGTACAGTAGGGGCTAGCAAAAGATGTAATGCAGATGTTAGATACTTATGTATACATACCACATCATCATTGTTGTATGAATCCAAACACTTAGGTGTTATTCCAAACCATTACATACTACAAAAAAGGTAGTATGGTGTGCGTGTCAATGGCTTGAGAGTACTTTCACTCATCTGTGAGATGTGTGACGTGCAGTTGAGTTATTTCTAGCTTAAGAGAAAACACAGGACACTACATTGTAAAAAACAGGTGTCTAAAAGTCAACACTAGACCTGTACCATGATGAGTCTTTTGCTTTACTAAGTACAAGTACAGTAAAGTAAAAAATGCTGTACCTCTGTGTTCCTGCTCTCCATTGTTAAACTCATGAGAGGTTAGGTTAAATACTTTTTACCAGCTCCTATTCCTTAGTCAAAAATGCTGATGCTTATAATGAAGATACCATGGTGAGATATTTCTGAGCTTCACTTAAGGTGACAGGTGCTTATTACCTGTTGAAATGCTACACTGCTACTCTTTATTATATATCACTTTAAGCACCGTGGAACATCTACAAGCCAGTTTATATTTCCTACACTTCTGCTTTTGTTTCAAAGTAATACAACTTTTGAGCTCTGGAAAATCTATGTAATTTCACTTTGGAATATTTGTAAATTTTTTTAATTTTTTTTTTTTTTTTTTAGCATACAACAGTTTACAGAGTTTGTGAATTGAGTTTAAATATAGAATCCATTTCCTTTAAATTGGCAAAGACAAAGCAAAAAGTATGTTAAATTTTAGGACAGCAGGTGTACTGATATTACCATGATTTGCCATACCAGAGCAGAACAGTGGTATCCTGCCTAGTCTCTTAGGTATACTCTTTCTAGCCATACTCACGAAATGTTAGAAAACACTATCACCAGGATTTCGTACTGCACTGGAGCATGGAGGACAGGTTGGCCACCAGGAGGCAAATAGCAAGGAGTCAAGAAACTATAATCTTAAAGTAAAGGCCTCTTTCTGACTCATTTGTCAAAGGATTCTGCTCTCCCCTGTGCTCAAATTGAGCAAACACTCTGCTGATCACAGAGCATGTTAAAGAGGAAAAGACACAGTGGAAAAAAAAGCGAGCCCTCCAAACAATGACAGCAGTGCAGAGTCAACAGCAATGAGGACAAAGAAACAGTACCACCCTGTACGTCCAGCCCGTGGTGAGGAGGGAAGGAGGACTCCAGATGTGAGGTGCAGTCCAGCAGCAGCACAATGTAGACCACTCTGCTACATAAAAAGACAGCCAAGAAGAAGGGGAGAATATGTAGTCTGATAAAGCAGAAGCGATATTGCATTTAATTCAACTTTTTTTCACTTCATTCAGCTGTTTGATTTCCTTCATGCTAAAGGTGTGGCCACCCTAAGCCTTTTCCAAAGACTCCAGTGGGCATCTAATTTGCGTAAGCAGCGAGAACAGAAACTAATTAACATCCTGCTCCTTACAGCGTGACTTGCAACAGGAGACGTTTTCGTTTTCAGAAACCTTAGCACTGCTCATACCAGACTAATACACTTTAAGAAGAAATGTGGTAAATTTTCTCATGTCACACTGCAGCATGAAGCTCAATAGGCAAGAGAAGGGTTAAGTCTGCCAACAGCTTCCTAGCAGTCTTCTGCTGCAGGCATTTGCAGACTCACCTGGCTGGACACCACCATTGCAGACAGACAGCTGTGCTGTAGACATATTAGAAGCAGCTGTCACAGCTCCCACCAATGGTGGGTTCTGATTTTTTTCCTTTTTTTCCCAACATCCAGCTTTGAAATAGTTCATGGCTTACTAGTGCCATGCTCAATGGTAGCAGACTCTGGGAATCCCTGTTCTCTAACAGATCCCATGATCTAACACTGTGACTCTGGGAGACTTGATCACTCATTTTCTCCAGGAGAGGGAGGATAGTTTCTTATCAAAGATCGTCTTCTAGTGTGTCTGAAGGACTGCCAGCTCCAAGAAAAATCACATAAAGATCCAGATTTCTGTCCTGGCAGGCAGGAACACCGTTCTCCAAAACCACTGCGCGTGAAATCCACAAACTCTTCTTCTGTGCGTAACTTTGAGGAGGGACTGATAAGAAGTGCTGACCTGGTGAGAGAGTTCTGCCCCCACTGCTGCCAGGACAATGAGCTGATCTTCATCAGCTCCACAGGGAACAGCACGTCCTCCTCCATTTCCAGCAGTCCTTGCCTGCACATATGCAGCTGCCAAACCAAGAGAGACTGCCAGCTGGAGAAGGGCAGTCTCCTCCAGGAGTCCACAAAAACTACAGAACATCACGAAGATCAGAAGTGTTGGTAGCCAAAAATCCTCAGTGACTGCGCAATTTCTGTTATTTTTAAAATCAATTAATTCTGTGCAGTATGCAGCTGATGCAATGCATCCAAATTGTTCTGAAATGCACAAGGCAAAGTAAAATTTAGGTATTAGTATTTTGGTCATGTGCCTAGCATTAGTAAATATTTTTTAATTTCTTTTAAACAATCTTCTCTATTTTGAGATATCTAAATATTTTTTGTAGCTTCTGCAAAGTAGACTATTTTGCCTCTTTTCCTTTCTGTTCCAAAACAGTTAATGAATAAATTAAATAATGATCCCTACTGTAGACCTTTGGGGTGCTCATTTACAGTGTAAAAAATGACCGTTTAGTTCTATTCTCAGATTTAAATTAGATCCTGATTTTTATTATATTTAACTTCTAATTCTGAAATATACTATATTTTTCTTAAATATTATTAACAGGAGCCATGTTAAAGTTTTACCTTGTTAAAGTCGAAATCTACTGTGTAGCAGTCTTTCTCTCATCCACTTTTGACACACTGGAAGAATCACAGTAGATAAGAAAAGTGTGATTTTTCTTTCATTAAATACTCATGTGAGCATCTTATCACTGTATTATTTTTTTAACTGATACAGAGTTGCTTCTCTCCAGTCTGTTTCTTAGGTTTGACATGTTGTTTAATTTTTACTTAGTTGGGATCAGATAATCTGAATCTTAACCCTTGTCATTCAAATCTGCACGATTTCGCCAAAGTTCAGGCTAAAACGGCATCTGAAGCTGCGACCCATTTTCTCTTGCAAAGTCATTCTTTCTTCCTCTATTCACACAGACATCTGTGTTTCTTTCTGAGCGTACCCCGCTCTCCAGCCTGTTGTATGGTGCTGTTTTGTGTGGAGAGTGATGAGACCAAAGATTCACTCCCTCTCAAATACACCCAGTTGTTGTTAAGGAACCCTTTTAAGTAGCCCTACTGGAAGCATCTCCTTCCCTGCTCAAAATCCTTCACTCAAGCATTGAGTGGGATGGTGAGTCCTGTTACAATCTCTGTCCCACTTTGGTTCACAGGTAGAGCAAGCAAAACTAGATTGTCAGTGTCTAGTAACCATGGCTGCAAATGTATGCATAACAAAGAAGCAGAAGATTAATGTATGTCACTTTTTTTTTTTTTTATTTTAAATAATAACTCATTTCAGTTTACTTTCAGGTACTTCTTTTCCTTTAGAAAATAAATGTATACAGCAAGATGATTGTATAGGCTGCCAAAAATAATAGCCTCATTTTTTTTGGTATATATTATATACAGTAAACTCAGGGACCTGCTGTATTTGTCCAGATTTCTTCCTCTTTTTTGTTGAGCTTTGTCTTTGAATGAGGTCAAGAGAAAAAAAAAATCATTAATATCTGTCAACTTCCTTTATAACCTTAAGGAAAAATCTTTGTATGATATCACACAGACAGATTTTCAATTTCCTTGTGTAATAAACAGATGCTTTAGGATTTGGATGTAATTTAAAGGTTTAAAATATCACATTGAGATTGATGAATAAATCAGTTGTGAAGACAAAAACATTGATGCCTGTTGAAAATACCTCTCCAGACAGGCAGGAAATGAAATTAGTTCCCAGTAAAGTGTGGAGATGAGGATCACTGTTTAGTTCTGCTGCAGGCTTTTTAGGACTTGCTACAGTGGCACAACGAAACTGCTAGGGCTACAGAAATCTAATTAAAGAGCAAATGTCCCTCCTGACATCGAATTAATCTTTATCAAGTTCCCTATTTTTATTTCAATCTGGAACAAGAAAATGAAATTTAAAATTCTAGGCATGTTGCAAAACAGTTGGTGATTTTCTCTTGAGCATTACAATGCAAAAACATTCAGCATTGTTTAATTAGACCTCGCAGCACTCATTTTCTGAGCACTTTTTATTTCATCATTGTTTGTTAAGGGCTTACATAAATAATACACAAATATTTACTACAAGCCTGGTACAAGGCTGTGTCCCTCTGTTGTACAGATCTGTATTTCCAGAGCTTTTTCTGTTGGTGAAAAAGCTGAGGTAATTACTGTTTATATCTTAAACATCACCGTACTTTATCAGTCCTTCATATTGAATTCAGGTTTCTTAAATTAGGTTGCTTTAACAAGCATGCTTTCTAACACCCACATTGCTGGTATTCTGGTAGCCCCCAACCCCAGCAGGACTGCTGAGCTGCAGCAGCTCAGCTGCTTCTGGCGCTGGAGCCTGGCTCAGATACCTCTGCACCATCTTAAAATTCATCACGTGAGCATGTCCTGAGAAACAGGCCCCAAGCCCAGGCAGTTATAAACTAAACAGACTTGTAAGGTGCAAGATGAAAGTGTTGCTACCCCGTATTTTACAGATAGGAGAATTAAGATTGGATCCATGGTCCCAACCTTAACATGAGAGGTATCAATTCAGTCCAAGCACATGTGCATGCATGCTCCATTGGAAGAGAGCCAAAGCAATTTGTCTGTGGTCACACAGAAAACCTGAGAAAATACGAGGATAAGTCCCCACCCAGTTCCAAGCTGGCATTTAAACCACAGGACCATCCTCCGACATCTAAGCTATTTATTTGTCATAAGTCCAGAAGAAATGGAATGGATATTGCACTGATGGACTCTTCCTCTGATCTGGGGTAACTGTCTCTTCTTGCTGCATGACTACTTGAGTCTCTGTGCCTGCTCACTTGCATGCTTTGCTGCAGCACTGCTAGAGCTACTGGCCCTATATAGTGTTTTTCTCATATATGTGATTGTTTCCTGAAGACTGATAATAGCTCAGGGACTTTGCTAGCAAAGGTAAACCTGAGTGCCTGAGGGCAGGATGTGTTTCTGTGGTTATTTTCCTCTTACAGCTAAATTAGAAAGGCCTTACGGGTAATGTTTTGTATAAAAATGATGACGGTGATACACAAACCCAATCTTCCTGCCTTTTAATCACACAAAACTCCAATTAAAGTCATCGGGAAGTCTGCTCAATTACAGTTGCCTTTGGATCCGTTGCAGGCATGGGGGTTGTTTATGCAGCCTGATGTGCAGGTTTAGAGCCTGCTGAAAAGGCAGTGTACAGAGCATGGGGGTTACAGTCACCATGGGTGGGTTTTGGTTTACCTTAGTAGCAGGGCAGTATGTAAGTTACATAACAACTAGATGCAGAATTCCGCTGTGAACTTGCCCGCTGCTAATAGTCTGTTTCTTGGAGTCGTCAGGGACAAAGTGAGGCTTCAAAGAGCATTTAAGGTACCGAAGTGTGACTTGGGATATTCCCCATATGGAAGAGATTATGGAAGAAAGTTGCACTCATTTATGGCGTAGGCTAAAATCCATGATCAGGGTGAGTGGAGTGAGGTGATGGTGTACACGAGAGGCACAGCGAGGACCTCTGGGGAAGAGCCAGAGTATAATACACCAAGAAAGAGGGATGTGAAGGAGGAAGTGACGTGTTACATTTGAAGGAAACTCATTTCTGTGGATGGAGGGGGCCAGGCAAATCCTGAGAATACTCATTTATCTTGATTAAAGGTGGCGTGGCTGACTTGTTAAACCTGCAGAAAACAACAGCTCTCTGCAAAAGTCCTGTCCTAATGAAGGCTGTGTATAAGAAGCGATCGCACATAATGCACTAGAATTTAAAACTAAAAGCTATGAGCTTCAATTCTATCTATTCTTTATGTGGACTTCGGCCAGAAGGAGTGGGTTTTCAAACTAGGTATCTTGGTTCAAGTTCAGTTTCTGATATAGCAGCTACACATCCAGTTAACCTGAGTGGGAATTGTATGCCATTGCTCCAGGAAGGAGTTTGGTCTGGTTTTTTTCAGCAGACATTGATTGCTTTCATACCGAATTGTCATACTTCTACCCAATGTAGTTCTTCTAACTTTAAAGGAACATGATGTACATTTATACAGGGTGAACCAGATACACTAGCCTTGACATTTCAATTGTTCTCCTGGTTTTGAAACACAACATTTAAACATCCTCGTATATCAAAAGAGCTAAAAATTATTGTGACTTTTCATATGACAGATATTTCAGGGAGCAGGTTAGATGTCTCTTTGTAACTTCCACTTTTTTTTCTCATCTTCTTGGTTTCAAAAAGCAAGTTATTCTGTGCTACTTTCACTACATTAGTCCAACAACTGTTAAAAAGCTTTGGTTGAATTTCTGTTTAGTTGAGAGAGAAGTACAAATAAAAGAAGCAGCAGATGGTCCCTTTGTGACTGAATGAAGAAAAAGGGTTTTGAGAACAATATGTGAATAGGTGTAGTCTAATAAAACAGTCAGCCACCTGCTGCCTACATCCTTCAAAAAGATTCTGTTGCATATTCTGGGAATTAACGACTAGTGTGTATCCTTACGTTTAATCTAAATGGAAGCTCTAAGGAGCAAACAGAGCTTTTTTGCCCCAGTGCTGATAGAGTTGTTCTCTTGGGTTTGAATTGTTTCTGCTCTGTCCCTTTTACTTCCATCTTGTGACTGTGAAATAGCTCACAATGATTTGGCAGCGCTTCATTTCTCAAACCAAAGAAAGATTTTAAAACTTAGAAAGTACCTACACATTTTTTCCTATTTTAAGTTTGATAACCTAAAGTACACCTGGAAAAGAAGTATTCTACCATTTCACAGTACACACCGTTTGTGGTTTTTTTTAATGCGCCCAACCTGTTGCTTGGTTCCGTACAATGTAATGTACTTGCTTTCTCCTCTAGGGATTTACTCTTCAGCCTGATTATCAGAATATCATCAATCCAACATCAACAGCTGCACAAGTTGTTACCCAAGCAATGGAGTATGTTCGTTCAGGGTGCAGAAATCCTCCAGCACAGACTGTGGACTGGAATAATGACTACTGCAGTAATGGGTAAGCAGCCAGTGAATGCCACCTTGTGTTGAGCAACATTCATGACACAAGTATCTGATAGAGAATTTGGAAACAGCTTTGTTGCCTGTTTCCCTACGGTATTTCAGAAGTGCATCTGTGGTGGCACTGGATTTACTCAGCAATTAGACTGTTGTGGGAGGACAAGTTTTCAATGCATAGATGTATTAGACATTGTTATCACCTTATCACAGCATATACACTTTGGTCTTAGAGAACTTCCATTCCTTAGAAAATCAGAACTGAAATCTTAGGGAGAAGGTGTAGGAAAAAAGTTTTACGATCACTACCTCCTACTTGTGAGTCAAATGGCATGAACTATTTGCTCCAAATACTCCATTGCTGAGGAGATCTTGCTGCCAGTGAAAACAACTAGTTTGGGTCATGAAAACCCACATCAGTGAGATGCAGGAGTGATGCATGGGATACAAGATACATGGAAGGGAAGGGCATGAAGGTCACAGGACAGAAACAAAACACCATACCTGTGGGAGCTCTATGCCCCTACCATAAGGTTGGTAATCCCTTCAAACCCTCAACTCCTCTGCAGCATGGTTTTTGTGGAGCTATGTTACTGTCCCAGGAACTGCTTGGAAACATTTAAGACTCCAAACAGAAGGTATCTTTTGAGTTTTAAATGATAGCTGTTGTGCTTTGTGAATGTGCCCACCAGCCTGACCTCCCCTTGACCTTGGCATGAATCTCCAAGGCAAAGGCAGATAAAAGCTCTTGGTTGCTACCAAAGTGTCAAATCTAGCTCAGACAAATGAACACCAAGCAGAACTAAAGACTAGTTTCACCCATTACATTTACTCAAACTAAGAATTTCACTTGCATTATTGTTTTAAAGTGTTTCTGGAACTAAAACTAGAACTGAACAAAAATCTTTTTCTGGTTACTAGGTCAGAATAACACCTTGACTAGAAGCTGCTGACACTGAGGCAGGCTTTAACTGGTCTGCACAGCAGCATCCCTTTCCCCCGTACCTATTGCTGTTGCCCCATGACTTGCCCACTTGTTCAGCAGAACGGTCTCGCTTCTGTGCTGTACCACCATAATGTCTTGATCTGTGCTGCAGACCCTTGTAGGAGCATACCCAGCCCACAGTCTTTTATACCCACTTACACTGAACTCTGAGCAGACTGTCCTCCGTCAAACAAACCATAGCTACCTGTGGCTTTGATGCCTGGTCTCTTCTAGAAAAAGCAATGTGCGATCATTCCTAGCAGTGCCCTCTAGGTGCCCACTGGGCATAACTTTCCATCAGCAGAAGCTTTCTCTGAGCAGACCCTGTATATACCCTGTGTAGATATGCCTTTGTGAATCTGTGTGCATGGGCTTAACCTATCTTTGCTATAGCATTGACATAAACTGCCAAATACAGCGTAGCTTGCTCTGTGCTGCTCTTGGACTACAAACCAAGTAAGCTGTGAAGCTGTGGAAGAGCAGAACTGGTGCCTGGATTTTGGCAAGGAAGCAGATTAGGAGTAAAGCCTCTCTCCCAAAAAATCTCTGCAGTGTGAACCAAGCCCCATCAGTGATGCTGCTTCTCCTTTAAATGATATGGGTTTTTCTGACTTCTACAGACTGTTCCAAATTAGAAATTGGTAAATGACTCCTTTTGCTCTGAACTGATATGCTTCAGTTGAAGCTGGAACCCAGCAAGAACTGAATGTAAAAGTGTGCTAGACACAGTGCATTGGTGGAAGGTCTCCTGTAGAGCCTGGTCTCCAGCAGAGAGCTGGTCTAGTTGGCTTTGCCAGAAGCTTCTGCTGGTCCCTTGCGCGTGCTTACCTGAACCTGCCAGCCCAACACATTTTGGCTATGTCTGTACTGGTAAATAAAATAACGCAGAGATAGCAGTGGCTGGCACCCTGTTCATGTAACTAAGCTCTCCGGCCCTCTAAGGAAAGTGGCCACATCATATAGGGTTCTAATGAAGTATCATTCTGAGAGCTGTGCTAAACCCTCAGCTGTACCTATTCACTTTGTGAGAGATGGATAGTCAGTGCTACCAACCTGCTAGTGCGGGTAATCTCAAACCATTATGCAAAGCTCATATGATCTCAAAGCTTAATCCCATCTCCCAGTCCTGTGTAGTTTAGAGCCAGATGTGGTCTGGGAGTTGCTACATGCCACAATGGCACTGGGATTTTTCTTATTATTGCCATGGTAATGCAGCCATACTTCAGTGATATGCTTGGAATTAATGACATGCAGTAGGGTTGTGGGTTTTTTTTTGAAGAATAGGACTAAAAATTTGACAAATTTTTAAAAAAAATCACATTTGTTCTTTTTCTCTTTGAACAGGGGCATGCAGAGGGACAAAGCACTCTACCTTACCTGAAAATCTGAAACACCTCTCCTTTCCACTGAGGAATGCAGGGAAGTCTTTTCATCATGGATTGCTTTATGCAGTCAAGGCAGTTCTGCATTTTATTAGGAAATACAAGTTGCTAAGCACTTAGGACTATTTGAGCTAGTGGGTCACCCACTCTGGAAAAAAATAGTCTTGCTTCTTCCTTTTTATTTTTCTTTTTTCCCCCCATTTTTTTCTCTTTCTTTCTCCTTTCCACCCCTGCCCTGAGATCCTTTAACGGACATTGCTTTTCTTCTTCCCTGAAGGAAACTTGGACCATTCAGATTTTATGTTGGTTTTTGCTGTGAAGTGCTGCGATAGTAACTGCCTTAGCAACTGTAGATGTCTCGGATAAAAGTCCTGGATTTTCCATTGGTTTTTCATAATGGGTGTTTATATGAAACTACTAAAGACTTTTTAAATGGCTTGATGTAGCAGTCATAGCAAGTTTGTAAATAGCATCTATGTTACACTCTCCTAGAGTATAAAATGTGAATGTTTTTGTAGCTAATTGTAATTGAAACTGGCTCATTCCAGTTTATTGATTTCACAATAAGGGTTAAATTGGCAAACATTCATATTTTTACTTCATTTTTAAACAACTGACTAATAGTTCTATATTTTCAAAGTATTTGGAGAAAAAAATAAAATATTCCCAAATTATATTAATTAAACATATTGGCTTCGTCTCATGAAATAAACACAAAAAACTAGGAAAAAAAACTAATGTTGATAAAGAGCAAACACGTTTATTTTGTACTGCCTAAAAAATGCTTCTTTTTTTTAAAGAAAATCACTTTATGTGTACTGGTTAGTAAACGTCATTTAAGTCCTTTTATGTATAAAACTGCCAAATGCTTACCTGATATTTTATTAGATGCAGAAACAGATTGGAGACAGCTAAATTATAACCTTTGCATATGGCTATGTATTATTGTTTCTTCATACTGTGTCTGTATTTAATCTTTTTTATGGAACCTGTTGCGCCTATTTATGAAATAATAAATATAGGTGTTTGTAAGTAAATTTGTTAGCATTTTAAAGAGGTTTCTTTGACGCTTTAACTTTTGCTGGCACAAATTGTTCACAACTGATGTGAATACTTTATTTAGTTTTTACAGTGGCATATATAACACCAAACCTGCTTTACTGGCAGAAAATGAAGGTAATGAATACTTATTTCTCTATTTCTTTGGTTGTTAAAGAAAAAAAAAAAAGGTATTTTAAGTAATTCCTTTTTAAAGCATTGTAGCAGGAAGTTGCCCAAAACTAAGACTTGAACCAACAAACTAACTGAATAAAACTGCATAATGCTGCTTCTTGAAAATTCATCAGTTTTGGTTAATTAGTCAAGTGGAATAAAAATATTACCAACAGAAATATTACCAAATATGCTTCAGCCATTTTATTATACATGCAAAAGGTCCTACAGAGTTTTAGGGACTGTATCACAAATAAATCCTAAAGTGAAAGGTAAGTTCAACAGCCACAGGGAAAGGGATAAAAAAAATCCAAAAGAAGGTATTTTGTCAGTGTTTTGGATCAGGGATAGCTCTGAAAATGTATTTCTGGAGGATTTAATCTCAGATGCCTGTCCAATTAATGGAGAGTACCACTGATTTGTATTTTCCATGTGAAATATAGAAAGCAACTCGAATAAAATACACATTATGCAATACCATTGATTTTTCTTTAAAAACAAAACAGAAACAAAGGCATGCTTGCTTTGGAATGATTTCAGGCAATGTACAATCAGAATCACTTGGCATGTAATAACTAATAAATAATGCAGATCAGATGTGATTACTCAAATGACTGTAGCTGAGAGCTCTAATTTTCCTGTCTTGAAACTGTATGAGAACTCGTGATTAAATTCACAGTTTATTGTTTGTCTGTTTAGTACTTTAGAAATATACCAGCACTACTAATTACCCAATGTCTTCTATTTATTATATTATAGTAAACTACATTTTCCACTCATATTAATTCTAAAGCGACAAGATAATTCCTGGGGATGAGAAAAATCAGCTTTGATTTTGACAGGCAGTTTTCCTTTTTCTTTTATGGAAAAAACTGTGTTATCTTCATTTCTTTTAGAGCAGGTGCGCAGTCACATAAAGTTGTTAATTTCGGTATCCAAGCAGAGTTCAAAATACAAGAAAACTTTAATGTAAATAAAAAAATACATCATGAATAAAATACTTATTCTGTATGAATCTCTGGCTAGTTGGTGTTTCTCAGTCTTGTAAGAAGGGAAACGTGCGGCGTGTTTACTGTGCAGCACCTTACCCATCCAGCGCTTTGAGTATGGTTCTGTGCCCAGGCTCTGTTCAGACAGGACAGCTATTCCAGAAGAGCAGCAGTTTTGGCCAGGGTTATACTGAAGCCACTTTGTTCCGAAGGAAAGATCCAACTTCAATGCATAAATGTCAGTTCTTCATGTCTGACCTTGGGAAAAAGCAATGGTTGCTGGCCAAGGGCAATCTGCTGTTTGTTTTCAGCTGCATATTGACAAATACAAATTGTCAATAGATGGAGCCTAGAAGGTTGAGATCCTTTTGTAAGCAGGTGAAACTCCACTGGAGTTCATGAAGATATGCCCCATCCTTCGCTGAAGCACTGTGGCCTAGGCACCACAGTAACACATATACCCAAGTCACTGGTTGTAAGTCAACATCTGTCATAATAATGATAATGAGAAAGCACACAGGAACAAAACAACCTACACATTGAAGCAATACAGTAGCGGCAACTAAATATGATAAAGACGTCTGTCAAAGTGATAGAAACCAAGGGAAATAATGTCTTCCATTAATTGAAATTAATGGGGGTTTTAAATTATTTTTAAAAAGTGGTGGGCAAATGCAAGGTTAGCAACATATGCACTCTGCAAGATGTAAATCCCATTTGCATGCACCAAGGTAAGCAGAAGTTTTGAAAAGGAAAGGAACATTTACTGCTGCTCTCAGCATGCCCCGTTCTGGCAACATGAGTCCTGGTCTCTCTATCACCAAACTCACAGAGGTTCAAGCAGAAATGCCGTCCAGCTGCTGCCTCTGACCCAAAGAAGCTCTTCAAAGGGACCTGCTATAGGTCCCTTTCACATCCTTTTCCCCCCACATTCATCCACAGGCAGGCAGTAAGTAATGTATTCATGCAGTGCCCCAGCCGCTCACAATGAAATGTAATGTATTCGTGCCCACTTCTCTCTCTCTCACCAAATACCAGTTCCTGATTTCAGTGGCGTCTCTGCCAAATATTCCCTGCGAGGCTCCTCTGTAAACAGGAAACCTGACAATAGAAGAGCTCATTACTGGAAGGTAAAACACGCTCTTACCACCTTCCTCAACCTTCTGAGACTTCATCTCAGCCTGAACTACCATCTCCAAGACTGTATCTGCCTATTTCTTACCCAATGCTGTAAACATGGCAGATCCACAGAGATCTCATTCTGTGCTCCAGGGAAACGGAGTCGGTAAAAATCCTTATTTTGCACACACTGAGAAGTAGCTGAAGAGCTGCATGTAACCTATACAGGAGCTACTCCCCAGAACTCCCATTGATAGGTAGGTATAGACAGAGATAGGGATAAAGATAGAGATGGATAGATACATAGACAGACAGACAGATAGGCAGGAAGAAAGGAGGAAGAAAGGAAGGAAGGAAGGAAGAGGATGAAAGAAAGAGAAAAAGAAAGAAAGAAAGAGAAAGATACAACCATTGCCCTGTTAATTATTTATCTGGTGTCTTCAAGTCCTTTTGCATTTAAATAAAATATTATTTAGTAAGTGTGCTGGCAGTGCTGCAGGAGGTGCTGAGCACCTTGGAGAACATGAGGTGCTTTGTGTCAGGTCTCCCAGACAGCATTTGCTTTCCTTTGCAAAGTCGTGTATTTTATTATTACCCAGCAGCACATTAAATCACAACTCAAATGTAGTTCTTATTCCACCGACAAGAGGACAAGTGAGAACAATGACTTGTAACGTTTCAGAGTCTGTCACAGTTACTGCCTAATTAGAGAAACCCACTAGCAAATGTGCATCTGCATGGATCCTGCAACTGTCATCATTTCACATTCTATTAAGGGCTTGCTGCGATAGACACTTTACAAAGAAATTTTGTTCGGGCTAATACCAAGCTGGCAAACATGTAATTGTCTAGAAAATAAAATAGGAGAGTAAAAAAAAAAAGAAAGAGAGGAAGAGGAAAAGAAAAGGAAACCTTCCTATTTGGAAAACAAGCTGTGTGCAAAAATCCACAGTGTACTGCGGAGAAGATCCTTACCCTCTGACAATTGTGTGTTTACAACGAGTCTGAGCATAATTGCTCTGATGGGCTGTCAAGGAAAAGATTAATTTGGCAAAGATTAGTATTGACTTGCTGTTTATTAAGGCTTTTAAACAGCTGTATCTGGCAACATTCCTGTAAGTGCCTGTCATGTCTGAAAATCAGGCTCACACCCGGGTGCTTGCCAGCTGTTGCTAAACAATCTTACCACTTTGAGTATCTTTCTCCAGGCCAAACAGCAAGAGCAAAGTATTGCCAAATGAGTCTCTCGTCCTGTCACTTTTCAGGGGATCTGAGAGCTCAAATGTCAGTTGATGGCTCGACGGCTGAGCTGGTAGCAGCTGCCGGGAGCCAGCCAGCGGGGTGGGTAGAAAGGTGCTACACCAACCTGTCCCGCATGCCGAGGGGAGGGTGCTGCTGTTAGTCACCTCACCAACACGGAAAACCACAGCTTGCAACTGCTGTAATGCGAAGGGCTTTTAAACCCCTTAGCGCCTGTGATCAAAGTTTGGTAGGAGGCAGAACTCCAGAGCGAGTGGTTCATCCCCCCTGGGCTCTGATGGATAAAGCCAACAGGCTAGGAGGGGGTGTGAAAGTACAGTAGACACCATTAATCTTTACAAAAAGAGCCAACATTTTCTTCTATGATTTTTTTTTGCCCAGACTGCTGATAAACAAAAGTCGTAAAAGCCACGCACGCAAAAAACCCTGGGTCAATGGAAACCTGTAAAAGGAGAGATGTCAGCTGTTATTTTTGTTACATTACTTAAAACATTTCAGCTTGCATTGTAGGCTTTAGTAGAGAGCTCAGAAACAAATAATACCAATGGAAAGAAGGATAAATGGCCGCAGCTAAACGCCAATACAAATAGCCATGTGTTACAATTAAAGTTGATTTGGCCTTTCCAATAGAAGTCTGATTTTCTGGGATTAATCTCGACCTTTTCAAGTTGCATCAGGCTGAAATAAGTTGTCAGAACAGATGTGAATTTTGTTTGCAGAGAACAATTGTAATCCAGTAACCCTTAGAACATCAGCGTTTTCCAGACCGCCAGCCAGCTGAACAGTGAGGATGCGGACGGCAGTTACTGAGCGCACACAGCAGGCAGAATCAGAGGACCCATAGCCATGTCCAGAGGCTGGAAGATTAGGTCAGAAAATTTCAAACAGGAAAGTACTTCTTCTTTTAACTCTGAGTTTACCAAGCAGCATGGTGGATGCACAACCACTTGAAAAAAAGATGTTAGATCAAGGATGGATACCTTTGTAAAACACTTGTTCTTTAGCTAATTCAAACATACAAGTAGGTGATAGTCCATGTGCCACTGTTTCACACAAGGCTGGGCACACATTTTGTAATACAGAAGTCTTTGAAGGCTCCAAGAATCACACATTTCAGATGCTGCTCTAAACCAGCTTTCTAAGAAGTTTTGCCCTACAATCTGCACAGCTCCACAATTAGAAAAAAAAAAGTAAAAGAAAGAAATAAAATCTCTAGTGAATATTCAGGCTTCTCACACTTTGATACATGGAGTCAAAAACTTCCCAGCTCTATGCGCAGCATATATGCTGCCCTTGGCACTCCCAAAGAGCCAAGTTTCAGTGGAAATAAAAAAGTCTAAAGCCTTTCCGATATGGATTGGGGGTGGGAGGCAGAGGGGCTATTCACCTTACCATGCTAGCACAGCAACTGTGGCAATGTAAGCCCTCTGGAGACACAAAGCCTGCAGGTTGCTTTTGTAATATTGACTTTCTTCACAATGAAACACCCAGATCCATGTTTATGTCATCAGTGCAGTTGTATTGTTAAATACTGGAGATGCAAGAGAGATTTTCCCTGCTTTCTATATAGCACAGCTTAGATAGCAACATGAAGTTCCAAAGTTCATTCAAAAGAATGTCATCACTTGAAAAAGTAAGGCTATCTGATGCCCTAATTAGCAGAGTAAGCCTTCACATTTAGATACCTACTTTTGCTCAGAGTTCTGAAATAATGAGCTGAGCCTCTCCACTCCTCTGGCATACAAGCATGCGTTACATGGTTTTGTTAAAGAGATGAATATGAAAGAAGGTAAGTGATGTGCCCAGGGACACAGAGTTAT